AAAGTTGCCAAAAATCAGTCCTCGGGAAACCCCTGAAATAGTTATTAAAAATGGTGGTTTTTCCCAACATCGGAATCATTTTGAAAAAAAAGGCCACATGCTTTATGGCAAATTTGTCGAGATATTAAGTTAGGACCACCACCAATATTTATTGGGTGGTCAGTACTTCATTTCGATAGTGAACACGTTTTTGGCCGCCATCTTAGATCCGACATATTGGATATAAAAATTTTTTTATGTAATTATAGTGTTGTGACACATCATTATGAACTAGATTTCCACGCTGATTTCAATGCTGAAATCCGTTTTTAAATACGTTTTTTTTTCTTAAAATATATTATAACGAAAACTCTCTACTATACACTACTTATAATTTGAATACTTGTTATTATTATTATTAACTTACACTACTTATTATCAGGGACGTTTCGTACTTTGAATAGGTATGTGTTTAGATTATTTTTCTCAGATTCTTATTGATGCTTGCAGTTCGTTCTAGCCTTTAAATATTCAATAATATAAGAGCTTTTATTTTAGCCATTGATAGTTAAAGGCATGCTAGTTAGAGACGAGGTACAAACCCCAACACAATATTAAATTTACCTTTTTTTAAATCAGTTTTTATTAAAGATTTATATCTCGGGTTGTTAATATGTCTCCAAGTTCGTTCTAGTATCAAAGTACTCAGTAAAATGTTTGGCTTTAATTTTATTGATCATTAAATGACACCTGACAAATTTAAAACGAATTATGTAGGCCTACCTTCAATTAACCTTAAAAATTATTATTTTTTAATTTGTCTTTAGTTAAAGACATATATATCCCCAATTCCAAATAATTTCCAATAAGGAATTCATAGCTAAAATAAAAGTCAATACTTTAACGAATAGCTACAGTATGAGGAGTTTTTCCCGTTTTCACTCTGCACACCCAACACTACAAAATAAAACCATAAAACGTTTTGTTACAATTTTTTAAGGCCATATCCTATATTTATGAAAATATAATTTTCAAATTACACAGTTACAGTTATTTATAAGAATGCACTAAATTTGATTAAATACATAAATTTACATTTTGTATTAAAAAAAGTACACATACAATTTTTTTATCATCGCCCATCTTTTGGCATCCACACTTACTGCCACAACCAGAATGACGTTTTCAGTGGATAATATAGAAGGTAGTGCTGGTGGCATGTGTGTCTCATAAAGGGTGGATGTACCACCAGTCAAACACCACACCCAATCTGTTGGATATGCTGGTGAACTATTTCCACGCCATACTTAAACCTGATGGTACAACTTTAGGCTGTGGTAGTTTAAAAAGTGTTTTTAAATTGTCAAAGTACGAAACGTCTATAAGAAATGTATGGGGAGAGTTTTCGTTTTTATATATCTTTATATAGAAAAAAGGCTATTAAAACCCGGATTTCAGCATTGAAATCAGCGTGGAAATCTAGTTCATAATGATGTGTCTTAACACTTTAATTACATTAAAAACATTTATATCCAATATAGCAGATCCAAAGATGGCGGCCCATAAAACACCCCTTATCAAAATTAAGTACCGACCATCCAATAAATATCGGCGGTGGTCCTAAGTCAATATCTTGAAAAATGTGCAATAAAACCATGTGGTATCTTTTTTGAAAAACTTTTCCAATATTGGAAAAGCTGCCATTTTTTAAATTAATTTAGGGGTTACCCAAGGACTGATTTTTACCAACTTTTAGTATGCTAATCTGCATACTCAAAAATAAAAATAAAACCATAAAAAGTTTTCTTGAAATTTTGTATACGATCCCTGAGTCTGTTTCTTTAGTTTGCTTGGACTATTACATTAATTTATATAAAAATATTATTATTTGAAATATTTTATTTTTTCTACGGGTTTATTTTTGGTTGTAGGTACATGTATTTGGTATCATTTTAAAGGTCATTTCAGAAGGAACATTAAATGTATTTACGACTTTTCACCAATATTGACTGGAAAGTCAGAATTTCAATAAAAACCAAAAAACTACTGGATTTGGCCGCCATTTTGGAAAATTATTTCTAGGTCAAACCATATATTCAGGGGCCGACTTTTTAGTCTTTTTAACAAATTTAATAAACATTTAATGATGAATTAGACTGTAGAATATAATAAAATTACTGTTAAAGGCTTAGTATCAAGGAAATAAGCTCATGAAACCACTAAAATTGGGGTTAAAGCCCATAAATCCAGTATAAATCACTAAAAAATCACTAAAATCACAAAAAAAAAATAAAAAACCAATAAATCGATTAATAATTAATCAACCAATCTAAATTAACAAATGAACCAAACTCTTCTATCCCTGGAGTGGATGTGGTGTCGACGCACACACTCCTTAGGACGTTGCTGTAAGACGGTTGTGACTGCTGCGAAAAACTCGTCTATGGCATTGGAATTCAGCTTTGAAGCTTCAATCGCTAAAGCTTGTGTTACAGCAGAGTCAAAAGTTAGATCCTTCTGTTGAAGAAGGTTCTCCCTTACGGAAGAATCCCTAATTCCTCTTATGAATTGTGCCCTGAGGAATAGGTCAGAAACAGCGTTACAAGTAGAACAGTCAACATTACAAGTCGAAATTTGCTTTTTGAGGGACATGACATAGCTGGAAATTGACTCCTCAGACTTTTGTACCCGAGAAAAGAATTTGTTTTGTTCGACAATTTCGTTTTGAGCAGGAAAATGATTTGTCATTAGGGCAGTAAGCTCTTCGTACTTCAGCTCATTTACCTTCTTTGGCAACGATAAGGTAGACAACAAGTCGTAGCCAGAAGAGCCTAGACTGTTAATAAATATCTGGGCACAGAGATCTTTGTCTGAGAAAACGTTTTTCAACTTTAAGTAGTTTTCAAATCTCTCTTTGTATTGAGAAAACGTGTCTTGTGTACAGTCAAACTGGTCAAAATTTGAAATCAGTGTTAAATTCTTTGATGGTTGTGAATCAAACATACCTTGAAGAGCCGTTGTAAGTGTTTGTAGAAATAGTTGAAATTGTTCCTGGTCCATCTTGCCGTTTTCCTCGACGCCACTTCAAAATACTTGAAGTAATATTAGATAATTAGTATAGAATAAATTATTTCAAGATGGTGTTATAAATGAGTCTTGTTTTGAGAACAATGTTTTGATAATCACAATAGTAAAAACATCAGGAATAATAAATATTTAAAATAACATATGATTGTTAAAGAATGCAAATAGAAAATATATAACAGAGGCCAACAAACTTGAACTGGTAGACGTGAACGAAATACAAATAATACTATTGTCTTTGGTATACAGCAAGCACGCTTCTGTGTTGGGTTTAAGTGTACTCTCCAACAGCCACCTGAAGATTTCACATTCAATTTAGGACTGTTGGATAATCGCTGCATAAGCTGTTGATTTAGGAAGACAATGAGGCGGGTAGGACTACATCAGAAACAGAAGAGAGGAGATATTAGATGAGTGGAAAATGCGTTGGGAGCAGAGTTTTTTATGTTAACGTTTGAAAGGTAAATGTTCGGATATATACCTAACATCAGAAAGAGACTGGAACAAGATTGGGAGATGGGCCATTATGAAACGCAGTTTGTCACAATGACATGGACAATTTCTAGGTGAATTTGTGAAGATTTCACCTGGTGTAAGAGGAAGTATGTAGATGTGGAGAAATAAAAACCACGAGTCACGTATTTATAAATTGTTCACTTCATGAGGCAAATAGGAGAGAACAGAGAACAGGAATAAGTCTTGGATAGAATAGGTCTAGAGATGAGAAAATAAAACTTAATGAGTGACAAGAAAACAATTGAGACATTTAGAAAAGTAGCTAGGGAAATAGGAAAAACCAGGGATACATATATAGGTGTTAAAATTTAAAAAAAGAAACAAACAAAAACTAAGAAAGAAATGGAATGAAAACTTGCCCATGAAGGGGAGAGGAAAGGTTAGAGCGCATCTCAATGATCCCTATCGCTCAGGGCGGTATGGAGAAGGGAGTCATGATATTCGGCTATGAGTAAGGCTATTTGTAGAAAACACTATTTACAATAAATGTTGATTATATCGATCTTTTATGTACATCTTGAGTATTTCCATAATCTTTGAGTCGAATATTTTAAAGTCATCAGAAATTATGACTGTTATTCATTTTAAAATAACGCCTGTAATACTTAGCAATTGCTCGAATTCGAGCAACAGGTACACTAGTTTTATTTAATCTTAGAAATAAATATGCTTTTTAGATAAAAGTCATTTTACTGTTGTAAAACTTTCCTAAAATTTTAAAACATCATTTAACCTCTTTGTTGACTTGCCTGCTGATGCCGCACCAGACGATCAGAAGTGTTATTGTTACTGAATGACAAAAACGATAATAGGGATATAAAAGAACAAGATACAGATCCGTACAATATATTAGATATTTCTTTATATTCCTATTATATTTGATATTTCTTCTTTTTTTAGGTATGTAAAATACTAAAATATATTTTTAACCAGGCAAGGAATAAACATCTTTGGATAAATAGTCTTTCTTTTGACATTGTTTTCTTTGCACTGTTGCATCACAGTTGTTGTCGTCAGTAGATGGCTGGCTCTGGCTAGTGGTAGTGCGGCATTGCTCTGCTGTGTCTTTATTCTTAAACGAACATACTCAATATTTAATTCTCATTTAAACATTTTAATTCCTCTGCGATAATAGATATGATATAAGAGTGTTTCATTGAAAATAAATAATTTTTTTTGCCGGAACCCGATCTTGGCCAGAACAAATCTCTGACCCCAGAGACCCGGCTTTTTGGACCTTCCGCTGTCTTGACCCGACATGAAAAATACAGGGACCCGCAGACCCCTATCTGATATACAGTGAGTGTGTCGTCGTTGTACAGGCCGAGGCACAGTTACGAGCCACCATGCAACAGCCATGAATGATGATAACTCTTAGTGCTTGTTGGGTCTGATATACAGTGACTTTTTTGTGATTATAGGCTCGTGAGGAGCAAGCTCGTGATGAGCAGCAGCAATGGCAACAATTACAGGCTGAGGCACAGTTACAAGCTACCATGCAACAGTCAATGGACTCCAGTGACGATGATGATTACTCTTAATTCTCATTAATAAATCTCCTTGTAAATAAATTTCTTGAAAAAAAATAGTTTTTTCATGTAATTTCATACCCACACTTATTTTCAAAATGTTGAACTGAACCTATTATTTTTACAGTTCAGTAAAAACTTTGACTACGGTATTATAGTACAAAGTATCCAATAGTCAATGGTAAAACCCTTTGATCTACGGTCTGTCAACCAAAAAATGTAAATCAATCAATACAAATAAATAGTATCAGCAATCTGACACATATACTTTCTCACATTAGCTTGCCAACAAACTTTTTCATTTTCAAGCGATGGGAGTAGGCCTATAACTCGAAACGAGGGTAAATCACAAAAGCTGCAATAACTTTTGGACCATATTTTTTGCAGCAATGGGAGTTGTACTATTTTGTTTGGAATCACAAGGGTCATAACACTAAATTTTAATTAAAATTAATGTAGCTGGTTATCTAAAAATCAGATTTTTTTGTTATTTTATGACTAATACTAGCTGGCCCGACAGACGTCGTCCTGTCCTATTGTGGTTTTATGTCACATGCTTGTTCATTTTCAAGATGAGCTCTTTCGCGTGGCTCAATCACGTCCTGGTTGAAGTTCGTTCGCTACGCTCACTCACCTTTAGGTTGGAGCTCGTTCGCTGCGCTCACTTGCCTTCAGGTTAGCTCGTTCGCTACGCTAACTCGCCTCCAGGTTGAAGTTCGTTCGCTACGCTCACTCACCTTTTGGTTGCAAATTAGCTGTTCTCATAAATGAAAAATAAATATAGTGCTGCACCCTGTTGGTAAACCTATTAACTTTTTAATGCTATTGAACATCACAGAATCAAATTGTTTAGTTGCACCAGCTGTTAAGATTCTTTAATTCCATTTAAATATGAGTACTCAAAAGGTTAACATGGGAAACTCCAGAGCCACTGGGGCGGAGCCTGATCTGACGGATCTGCACCAAACTTCACACAAACCATCCTTGAATAATACTTAATAATGCCTGAAAGTTTCATTACAATCTGTCGAGCGGTTTTGGAGTCCATAAAGGACAAACATACAAATATACAAACATACAAATATACAAACATACATTGGATTATATATATATATATAGATAATGGTTTAATTACCTTCAGTCTCCAGTTCAAAGTAAGTCGATTGCGGCCTAGGTTTCAGCACGACGTTGTGCTATCATCAGGCTTCCAGTCGAAAATGTTCAGTCCATTGGACGTCGTTTAGTAAAAACTATGTACAGTTCACAAGACACAAACACATACACATTTAACGATCGGTATTTACAAGGGAAGAACGAGTACATTTTGTCAAATCACCGGCCGCGACGAGTGACATCCAAGCCACAACTAGCTAGAGATAATTCTTGTGGTCTACCTGACCTTTGTACTTTGTATTGTCTTGATCCTTGGCTAATAGGATGCGTCAGTGTCGCTTGGGTCTCGATTATTTTGTTGAAAATTAAATTGGAGCTGTGGTGGATTTGATCGTTCACTAAGTTGGCAGCATCTTGTTTTAATGACTTGTAGATGTAAAACTCTTCTAATGTTTCTAATAAAAAGCCTTTTTTGCAATAGCTGAGAATGGGAACATTTTCGTCCAATTTCCCCGCTCTATGGTCGTTTTCGATTATGTGTTGGGCGAATGTAGATTTTTGTTGGATAAGTCGGGGGTTTGGTTTGTGTTCTTTCAACCGGGTTGTAAATGACCGACCTGTTTGGCCGATGTAGTATTGTTCACATTCACCACATTTTAGCTTATATACACCAGTTTTTTCCAGTTTCCCATTGTCATTGGAGGGTTGTCTTATGGTTAGAAGGCGTTCTAATTTATTGGAGGTTCTAGGAGCGGGTAATAAATTGTATGGTTTTAATTCTTTGTTCAATAGGTTGTATAATCGGTGGCCATATTCGATTGGAATGTACTTAAGTGTCTGTTGGTTCGAGTTTAGATTTTTGTTTATGTTTTTATTACGATGTTTTTTAACCAATCTATCAACCATTCTATTTTCATATCCTTTGGAGGCTGCAATATACTTTATGGTGTCTAATTCTTTTTCATAGTTTGTAGGTGATAATGGCACATTCAAGAGGCGGTGAACCATGCTATTATAAGCCGCTGTTTTGTGGCTTTGGGGATGGTATGAGGAAGCGTGTATCGTCTGAGAGGTTGTGGTAGGCTTTCTGAAAATGTCGAACTCAAAACTGTTATTATTTTTCTTGATATTGAGGTCGAGGAAGTTAATTTGGTTGTTACTTTCTATTTCTAATGTAAACTGTAATTTCGGGGCTATGTTGTTAATACACAACACATAATCGAAAACGACCATAGAGCGGGGAAATTGGACGAAAATGTTACCATTCTCAGCTATTGCAAAAAAGGCTTTTTATGAGATACATTAGAAGAGTTTCACATCTACAAGTCTTTAAAACAAGATGCTGACAACTTAGTGAACGATCAAATCCACCACAGCTCCAATTTAATTTTCAACAAAATAATCGAGACTCAAGCGACACTGACGCATCCTATTAGCCAAGGATCAAGACAATACAAAGTACAAAGGTCAGGTAGACCACAAGAATTATCTCTAGCTAGTTGTGGCTTGGATGTCACTCGTCGCGGCCGGTGATTTGACAAAATGTACTCGTTCTCCCCTTGTAAATACCGATCGTTAAATGTATATGTGTTTGTGTCTTGCGAACTGTACATAGTTTTTACTAAACAACGTCCAATGGACTGAACATTTTCGACTGGAAGCCTGATGATAGCACAACATCGTGCTGAAACCTAGGTCGCAATCGACTTACTTTGAACGAACTGGAGACTGAAGGTAATTAAACCATTATATTAGTTATAAACCAGTTCAGGGGCAATTCCACATCTTATGATGTCAAAACTATTATTTTATGAGTTTTTAATGGGGAAATCACAAAATTAAAATAACTGTTGGACCCCAATTGTTACAGAAATTTTGTTTGGAGTTAAAAAGTACTATAAGATACTAAATTGTAATCAAAATCGTTCAGGTGGTTTTAAAAAAGTTAAATTTTTCTGTTGGGCTATTTTATGCTTTTTAATGGGAAAATCACCATTGAAAATTTAAATTTACAAATAAAGAAAGCGGTCCCTGGAGATACCATAAATTAGTACCCACATACCAAATTTCATCAAAATTGGACCTCAGGTATCATCTGTGATATCCACAGATTCAGACACACACACACACCACTTTGAAAACCACATTCACCCACGACTGTTTTTTAATTTAGCCTTTTCAATTCAGTTCTTAGAATTGAAAAAAACTTACTTTACTGCATTGTTTTTTACTTTCTCCCCCTATACGTAGTATATGGAGAAAGAATTGTTTTTGTCAAAATTTTCGAGTTTGAGTTTTGAGTGGATAATAATATCCGTTTTGGGTCCCTCGGAACCCAAAAAGGTGGTTTTCGAAGTGATGTCTGTGTGTCTGTGTGTGTGTCTGTGTGGATGTGTACAAAGCTACAGACCACACCTGTTGTCCGATTTTGATGAAATTTGGTATGTAGGTACTAGTCTATGGCATCTCCAGGTGTTTTTTCATTTTTTTTCAAAATTTTGATTTTTGATGGTATTTTTCCCATAAAAACCCATAATGTAACGGAAAAATAGGATTTTCTTGAAAACGGCCCAAACGATTTTGATAAAAATTTAGTATGTTATAGTCAGTGCTCGATTAGTGGGGAAATGCGGCGGAACGGAGTTCCGGTACCTCTCTGTGGGAAAGATAAAAATATTGTCATAGATAGGTACTAATCACATTAAATAGGTTACAGTTCCGGTATCTCATTTTTTACAAATCGAGCACTGGTTATAGTAAGTTATGGTAAGTTTGTTTAATTGATTTCTGAACAAAATGGTAAAAAATCTCATCTCCGTAAAAATTACGGTTCCAAAATAATCGTAACTTATGTTATTTTCCCATAAAATTTCATAAAATATCAAAAAATCAGATTTTATAAAAAAGCCGGTTTCAATTATAATTAGTATGTTAGGGTCCTATAAATTTTGAATTGTATAAGTCCCGTTTCTGTAAAATTTACGATTCAAAAGTTATCGTAACTTATCTAATTTTCCCAATAAAAAGCTCCATAGGCTAAAACAAAAAAATCGGATTTTAGAAAAAAACCCATTTTGATTAAAATTAAAGTTGATTGACAGCTGATGTGAATTTATAAAGTTGATAAACATTTTGCTCTTCAATTTTCAGTGATTATTAGTGAATAATTTTTAAATTAGCTTTTAAACAGTGTTTCAAAAAGATCTTTAAGAAGACAGGTTTTCTACAAATAAGTATTTTATACATTATACCTCTATAACATTAATAATTCTCACAAATGAAACTCATCCAACCTCAAATATTCATTTTATTTGTTTTCAAAATAATTATATTGGTTTATTTTTATTTAAAATTATTTTATCAGCTGAACCAACCTTCTTCATGCAAAGACTAGAGCTCATGTTTACCTTATAATAACTATTTTTTTTTCTTTGAATGGGAAATCTTTTATAAAATGTCACAATCAACCTCATCAGGTGTATCAAATTCCATCCCCACGAACAGAGATCCCAGATATTTCAGACCCACATACACATCTCATGACTCGTCGATAGACTCTGTACTTACGCAAACCAGAAATCTATACAATACTCATTCTTCATGTGAAAGTCAAAAAGGATTTATCTGTAATATCTGTGTAAATGCCCTAAAAACCGAGAAAGGTTTAAAGCTTCACAAAATCCACTGTTTAAGAAGAACAGAGGCCACCAAATTAACACCGATAACTAATTTGCCCCCTAACAATAAATCATCAAATACAAATTTCAACATTCCATGTAGTCAAACAGAACGGTTAACTCCTGGTATAGGTAAAAATTTGGACCTTGATGAATTTTCAAATCTAATTACAAATCTGAAGAAAAACGTTCCCATATTGAAGCGTATCCCGAAAGGAGCAAGACCAATCGCAGCAGACAAATTATCACGTCGTATTACAA